AATCCTTAATATTGATTTATAAACTTATAGGCTTCAACATATTTGAATTTGAGAATTTTTAAAGTATTTTTATATTTTATTTTAATTGTTTAAAATAGGTAAACGGATCATGTTTGAAATACATGTAAATACATAGGAATGTTAACTATATTATTCTATCGATTGGAATAGGAACAAATAAACTAAGCAATCTAACATTACACAACTATATATATTACAATTAGCAAAACACAATAGCTGTACAACGCTCGCGACGCGCTGTCCAGCTATACACTGACTATGTTCTATACGTGCAAGTGCACAGTCCACACTCTCATCAGTGATTACCCCTACCACCACTATATGATAGATAACATTCGGGCATCCTGATGAGTTTAAGTGTCCTCACTTATTGAACATTGAAAACATGTAATACATTATATATATAAAAAAAAACATGTTAATAGTTAGTAATTAATTAATAGTAAATAATAATTTCAAACTTAACTCATTACTTTTACTTCTTACACATTTTGACAATAGACTAAACAAAAAAAATAATAATACAATCAAAAACATATTAGGAACATCCTGTTTCTTTTAAATTTAAGTCTGTAGAAGGAACTATGTTTTGTATTTTAAGTATAAAAATTAATTACATACCTATACAAATAATATTCATTAATAATAATATAATTACAATATTGCCACACAGTATATACAGATTAGTGTAGGCATGGTAAACAAAGGACCAACATAGTATAAAGTAATCACATTTTATAATCCTCATGCCATCTCGGTGGTCGCCTTATTCTAGCTGTTTTTGCTACAGCTGGTGAGAGTGCAGCAAAAGACTTTGACAACTGTTCTGCAGATTCTTCATCTTCTTCTTGTGGTCTGTCTGGGTCAGTCTCTCCTGCAACACCTTGTTCTTCTGAAGTTGTACTGGATTGCTTGTCATCCTCCTCCGAATCTGAGTCAGGCAAATGATATGATTTCATCTGAGACACGTGGACTTTAGTCGCATATTGTCTCCCTTCTTCAGCTCGCAATGCTGACACACTGTATACATCATTAGGTAGTCCTTGTGTCACAATGAGTGGTCCACGATACTTAGGTTGTAGTTTTGTTGATTCACCCGTTGCCTCAGGGGGTCTCTTTATGTAGACAATGTCTCCCTTCCTGTAAACGATTGGCCTAGAGTGCTTTTTATCATACCTAAGTTTCCATATTTCATGTTCTTTAGCTATCCGTTCGCGTACCCTCTCTTGAAGTCTTGTAGAATCATCCCATACATCATCTTTTACCACATGTCGCAATACACCATCCTTGAAACTGGGAAAATAGCCATATAGTACATTGAAGGGTGTGTCTCCCATAGTTTGATTATATGCGTTGTTAAGGTTGCACTCCACCTCAGTAATATGCTTGTCCCAAGTACGGTCTGTTTCCATAGTGGCTTGAATAACAGGAACTAAAGTCCCATTCACCCTTTCGACCTGGCCATTTGCTTGAGGGTGTCTGACGGAATTTAAAGTGTGTTTTATACCATAACGTGAGCAATATTCCCCAAACGCTCTGGATGTATAAGCTGTACCCCTGTCGCTTATGATTCTTCTTGGAATACCAAACTGTAATATAAACTTTTCTAGACTAGCGATAACACCATCCGTACCACAGCTTCTCACCGCATACAGTTTTACATACTTAGTTAAGTTATCTATCATTACCAAAATATATTGGTTTCCCTTGGTAGACTTAACGAATGGTCCTAGGTGATCTAAGTTAAGTATTTCAAATGGGCGTTTCCCTGGCATAATTGGATGTAATGTTCCAGGTTGTTTTCCTCGGGGTACTTTAGTTTCCATACATTCGGGACAACACCATATATGTAAACGCACGTAGCGGCGCATCCGAGGAAAATAATAACTTTCCATTATTTTATCGACAGTCCGATCTACTGAAAAATGACCTGACAGGTCATGAAATCGTACAACTATACCCTTTCGCATGGAGTTTGGGACAACCCACAATTTACGAACTATCTTGTTCACTTCTACTTTCTTGTTTAGTAGTCCAGACTCCAATACATATTCTTTCACCAACGCAGATTCACTGACGGAGCGTCCCGATTCTTCACGGCATAAAATATCCACAATTGTTTTTAGCCTCGTATCGGTGCGCTGCATCGCCATCACTTGTTCCTCCTCAGTAACCAATGTAAGTACTTCCATTTTCTCATTAATGATCTCCGTCTCCGTGTCACCGGCAACTTCGACAGGTGCTCTACTAAGAGCGTCGATGTGTGACATCTTGTCTCCGGCTCTATGTTTGATTTCGTAGTCGTATTCGGTTAATAGTGTAGCCCATCTGGCCACCTGCGGACTAATTGTCTTTTGAGTATTTAAATGGACCAACGCCTGACAATCCGTCACGATAACAAAATGTAGTCCAATTAGGTAGTGTCTCATTCGGGTTACACTCCAAACAATTGCCATTAGTTCTAACTTACTTGAGTGGTAAAGTTTTTCCGCCGCAGTGGTTTTTTTCGATACCGCATGCACCAAATGTAAGCGATTGTCAGCCCCACGCTGTAACAACATGCCACTAAGTCCAATGCTGCTTGCATCGCAGTGCAACTCAGTATGGGCTCCTGGATTGTACAATCGGAGTACGGGACTGGAACTTAATTTTTCTTTTAACTCCTTAAACACATTGTCATGCTCTTCTTTCCACTTGAAAGTCTCAGAATCTTTAAGCAACTCAGTAATTGGTCCAGCTAGTTGGGCATACCGTGGGATGAAACGTCTGAAGAATCCACTAAGTCCAAGAAATCTCCTCACTTCGTGTTTGTTAGTAGGTGTAGGAAACTCTTGTATCGACAAAACTTTCTGTTGTCCAGGGCGCACGCCATTTGAGGATAGTAAAAAACCAAGGTAAGACACCTCATAATATCCAAAATAGCACTTACTCAGTTTAAGTGTTAGGTGTGCTGTTCGAAATGCTTCAAATACCAATTTCAACTTATCCAACATTTCCTCGTACGATATAGAAGGCACCAACACATCATCCAAATACCACATAGCAATTTTTCCCTTCAACGGATTGAGTACTCGTTGCATTAACCTTGAGAACTCGTATGGAGCATTAATGAGCCCAAACACCATTCGTTCAAACTGACCTGTGTCATCAGGAGTGATGAATGCGGTTTTCTCCTTTGCTGCTTCTGTAAGAGGTACTTGCAGGTACCCGGAGGCCAAATCCAAAGTGCAAAACAATTTCGCCCCATACAAGGTCTCCAAGTGATCATCTAGCTGTGGTGTAGGGAACACCCTTCGCACCATCTGAGCATTAAGCTTTCGGCAGTCCACTACCAGTCTGGGATCACCATCCTTTTTTTGTACTAGGAGCACCGGGGAAGCATAAGGTGATACAGTATCTGACACAATTCCCGCTTCCTTCCACTCCTTGACAATCCCTGCAATGGTTTTGCGTTCGGCTGCACTCGTACGGTACGGTTTACACACAACCGGAACACCATTGTCCACAATGTCCATTTCAACAACATTTGTGCATCCTAACTCTCGTGCACTAAAAGCAAAACACATTCTGTAACTATTGATTAAATTTAATAAATTATTTACTTGTCCATCAGAAAACTCAGGATTGTAATTAACCATATCTGTTGTAATTGTTCCACAACTATTGAGACTGTCATGAACTGGACTATGTATTTTATTTTTGACGTTGCCTACAATTTTTCCCTTAGACCATGTAACTGATTCATCACCGTCATTTACTATCAGTACCTCTATATCATTGTCCTGGGTTGTAACATTTGTAATCTTCACACTCCTTGGGGGTATCTCTTCGAAATTCCTGGTTGTTATTGCAGTATACAAATTTTCTTCCTTACAGGGTATCTCAGAGTCTTCGAAAGGAAACTTCATTCCATATGCAAAGTGTAACTGATCATTTGTTTTAATGAATGTCACGTTCTCCTTATCCACAAATGTACGTCCGACAATAACATCATACTTTTGTAGTTCATCATCCACAATAACACATTCAACTAATTCTTTTACAGTGTCAATGCATAACGTAGCTTGAGATTCTCCATAACTGGTCACGGGTTGAGTATTTAAATATACCCACATTTTAACCTCTTTTGGTGTCACCACCAACTTGAACTTTTCAGCTACTGATTTCCTGATTATGGAAAATGCGCTCCCCGTATCCACTAAGCCTGATACAGGTTCATTGCTATTATTTATAAATACATGCTTAATATAACAATTTGTAGGTTTCTGATGCAGATTACTGTTGACCAAGGTTACTTCTGACTTTGTTGCTGTACAATTCTTGGCAGTATGTCCTTCTATTGAACACTTTGAACACTTAAAAGGTCGTTTAGTACGTGTACAATCACGAGCGATATGTCCAAATAATTGACAATTATAACACTTGGGGCAATATTCTTTAGGTTTGAAATTGTTGGTTTTAGTAGGCACTGTAGGAATGTTAAGATTTCCTTGCTCATTCGATTTAGTCTTGTGCCACTTGTTATTCGTCGTTGATGTAGTACTTGGCTTAACATCGATTTCTTTGGGACGTGTATGATCAACTCTTCCTGAATGTTCTGCTTGAACCTCCATAAACATTCGTATGTCGGCCAAAAGTTCTGGGTCGGTATTTCGTGAGCTACTTAACAATGCTGTAACCAGATCACGCGAACGTAGTCCCACACACACCATTTTCTTGGTTTCGTCTTCGTTTAATTTCAATTTACGACAAAGACGTACTTTCTCATGGTAGTAATTAAATACGCTTTCCTTTTCTCCTTGCACACGGTCATACATTCTTTTCCATATGTTTGTTATACTTTCCTAACTCGTAAATGTGACCTTAAACAATTTTCTAAAATCATCAAAATTTTTGAGATCCGCCATGTGGCTTAGATACCACTGTTTTGCAAGGCCACTCAAATTTGATCTTGCTGCCTCCATAGTGTATGTATCCGGCTAGTTATTGAGTTTAGCAGCCGTACATAATGCACTTAACCATTTATCTGCTACACCAGTGTCACCAGTTTCTCCATCAAAATTCTGTATGAGTTGTAAGTAATTCGGTACGAACGACGTAGTTGTTAGGCAGTTCTGATTCTGTTCCATCAACTTGTCCACTAAGTTCCGCATTTGTTCTTCACGTAATCGGTTTTGTTCGAGCATAGCTTTTATCAGTTCACTAACGTCGACCGATAACTGTTGATTACCCGGTGAACTCATCTTGTTCGATTGAATAGAACGGTATCCTTAATTCTTTTTTTTTTTTTTTAATCAAATACGCCAAAAAACGAGGAAAAAAAATATTCAAAACACACTATAACATTTCAGACGAAATGTTTGTTATTATTTTTTTTTGCGATCTTATCACTTATCACGTTTGTTTTGTTCTTTGCTTATCACGATCTCAAACCAGAGTGACAACACGCACTGGTACCAACCGACGACCACGTTTATCGTACCCGCACTTGATAAAACGATTTACAATTTTTAGGTTATGTACCACGGCTAACGGCTAAACCACGCCGACATAATTATTCACAACACAACACAAATTACTCACGCACAACGTCCTGTGGGGGATGTGTATGAATCTCACTTCTGAACTGTTAACTATATTATTCTATCGATTGGAATAGGAACAAATAAACTAAGCAATCTAACATTACACAACTATATATATTACAATTAGCAAAACACAATAGCTGTACAACGCTCGCGACGCGCTGTCCAGCTATACACTGACTATGTTCTATAGACACCGTGCAGCCGCTGGAAAACAGCGCACCGTAGTGGTGAATGCACGCAACTTTTGGATGATAATTAAATGTTATCATTAATTGTTATGTTTTTCATAAGCACTAGTCAGTCACTATACTCACTGTCACTATGAAATATATCAATGGGTGGATTATAAGTGGTTTATAAATTGTTTGACTATTTAATATTTATATTTTATTAATTCAGTTTGTTAAGTTTGTTTTTAATTGTATCTACTGTTTACTGTTATACACATAGTGCCTACTTACCTGAAAATATTATATTACACACATACTATAATAGATTTGAGATTTCTACTACATAATGATTCAACCAGATATCATCTTTAACTGTGGCTTTAGAACCATTACATACAACTGTGAATTTAAAAATAATAAAGGCGTTAAGTTGTTCCAAAGTGGTCATGTGCACACAGTATCTGAAGTACAACAGCCAAATGGATATGGTACCATCAATGGTTATGTTATTAGGCAGACATCAGTCACTCTACCACCTTATAAAGTTACATTTGAAGTAGGTACAAAAATTAAATGTAAAAAAGTAACTAGTCTAATTCTTCAATTGTATTTATAGATAGATCCCTTTAGGAATGTAACTCATTGTTTTTGCGAATGTCCTGCTGGAGCTGGGAATAAGTGTAAGCACATTGCTGCACTTGTTTATTATATAAATAATGAAGAGAGTAATTCAAAAACAAATGTAGAACAAGAATGGGGAAAGCCTTCAAAATCAGGGGAAGCCAAGTACAAAAAAGGCAGAACCATCGAATATCTATATCCTAAAAAGAAACAACATTATTCTAAATCTGAAAGTAATACAACTAACAGAACTATTAGTCATAAGGCACTTGTGAATGAATGTAAAATATTAGAAATTCCTTGTATTCTCAGTAAAATGATTGAAAAAGAAATACAAAGTGAGGCTGATATTGAGTGTCAGAGATGTTTATTAGATTTGTTAAATGAGGTGGAAAAGTCAGTAGACATTGATTTTTTAAACTTTATTCTCACCAAACAAAATGCATATGATATTGCCTTACCACCAATGATAGGTTCTTACTTTCCATTAAATTTAAATGAAAATAAATTTTATATGAATAATATTGTAGTTGATTTAAAACAAATTATAAACATATTTAACGAGACTAAAATGCAGTCTGAGAGTAACAAATGGAAAGAAGTTCGAAAAAATAGAATCTCAGCTAGCGTTAAAGCACATAAGATAAAAACTTGCAAAAATTTATCGGTTGAAAATCAAGAAAGGTTAGCAGAGACTTTACTAACAGAAAAAGAATTGGGTTATCATGGACAAATTAATGTGTCTTATGGTAACAAGTATGAAAGTGAAGCAATCATGTTTTATAGCAAAATGTTTAGTAATATAATTATTCTGAAGTGTGGAGTAATTGTTCATTCACAAAGGCCATGGCTTAGTGCAAGTCCTGATGGTCTTGTTATTGAAAACAAAGTTCCTATAAAAATTTTAGAAGTTAAATGTCAAATATCATGCCAAAATAAACCTATATTTGATCTAAAACAAAAAAAATGTAATTTGCCTTACTTAGAATATAAGAATAATAAATTTTTTTTGAAAACAACACATCAATATTATACTCAGTGCCAAATTTTAATGTATTGCACTGGTATAAGTCATTGTGATTTATTGGTGTACAATAAGATAGACCCACTAGTGATTACAATTGAGAAGAATATTTTATTTTTACAAACCATTTTAAAAAGACTGGAATATTTTTATTTTCATTTTTTCTTACCAAGATGTTTGCTTGAATAAAGATTTTATTAAGTTGTTCGTTGATTTATAAAACCTATTGTACCTGTTGAACATTCAATATTATATAAATAAGATACACTTGTTGTTGTGTTACATAGTTTTTAATATTAATAATAATATTTTACATTGTAATAGTTTTAAAGAATTTGTTAATTAAGAATTATAATATGATTTAAAAATAAATGTTACATTGTTAATCTTTAATTATAGGGTTTTGTAAATTAATTAACACACAACATATATGCATAATATCATCAACTTGGGGTAACAAATCTATAGTTATTTTATTTAAAATTCCCAAAGTTTTTAATTTGGCAAAAACCCTTTCAATGTGGATTCTCACACTAGCAATATTGTATGTTTCAACTACTTCATTTTCACTAAATCTCCCATTATGAAGAAAAGGAGGCATTATTAAAATACTGTTTTTATTTTCACAAGAGACCTTAATACCTGGAAAACCTTTATCTGCCAAAACTTCATCTCCTTTTTCAAGTTTTGATAAAAAACCACAGTCATTGGTGATAAATGTGTCGCTTGCTCTACCCCCATAACATTTTGATAAAAATGAAATTAAACCACTAGGAGTAATTGCTACTAGAGTTTTTACTGTGTAAGCATTTTTATACCTTGAATACATGTTAACTCTTTGCTCAACTGTACTTGGTTGCTCAGTTTTTATCTCTGTACAATCAATAATACAGCGGCAGTTAGGATAATTTTGCTTAAAAGCTCTTGGTAAAGTATCTAAAATTGATTTTTTGTTGGGCCAAAAGATAAAATGTTTTGTTTTGCTAACTAAAGAATTTAGAACAGAATAAAATATTCTTGACACAGTCGTACGATTAATATTAAATAATACTCCAATAGCTGAATATGATATACCCAATTTAATTTTGATAAGAAAAATCATTAATCTATTTTCTTTACTCACAGTACTATAACAAGAATCAGAGATAAATGAAAGTAGCAAGTTAAAAACTTTAAATGTAGTACTGGTTAAGTCTTTTAATTGTGACTCGTTAGTTATAGAATGATATCCTAAAAAAGAATTCATGTTTAAACAAGATACATTTGGACCACAAGCAATGTCTTTAGTATTAGAAATTTTAGAAATATTATTTAATAATGGGATATTTGCTTGAGTTCCAACATCATTATTCAATTTATTAAATTCGCATTCAAATTTAAAGGGATTTGTATTGTTAAAATCAAACATAACTTGAATTCCCACATTAGAGACACAGTTCAAGCTTTCACACTGAAGTGGTTCTATGATTTCTACTTCTGAAGACTTGTCATCATTTATCATCATTTTTAACTTTTTGTCTTGACGGTTTGATGTTCGTATATACCTATCACTCAGCTGTTTAATATTAACTTGTTTCTTTTTGTACACTTCAGGAAACAATGATGGTATGTATGAAGGGCTATTGGAGTCATTTGAGCGTTTATTACCAACAAAATGTTCACTGCAGATAACAGAATGAGGCTTAGGATACCACAATTGACCATTATTGCTAAAACCAAATTTACAGAGTTCAATTTTCATGCATTATCCGCAAACAAATTAAATACATTATGCTTTTATTTAGCTTACTCTAAACGTTTAACTGCATAAATCCATTGCTTCTTTAATTCACTTTGGTAAGGCTTGTTTGGAAAATTATAAAACTTAACATTTGTAGTGTTTTTATAAGTATTACTACAGTTAACAACACAGCAGATTTTACTCATTTTAAACAACAAATAGGAAATAAATATAAAAATGTATAGAAAATAGAAATACAGTCAATAAATACAAATAATTAAAAATTGGTATTACTATTTAAAAATGTTTTAATTATTAATGAAAATTAATATTATAGGTACGTACCATAATATTATAGTATATTACTATATTACTTATAGTATAATATCCGTATCAATGATCATACAAAAATTGCATGCGTACACTACCGGGAGCGCTAGTGTATATCTGCACGGTGTCTATACGTGCAAGTGCACAGTCCACACTCTCATCAGTGATTACCCCTACCACCACTATATGATAGATAACAGGAAAGATAATTTTTTTTTTATAATTATAATTATTATTCAACGAGATAATGAGAGTTGACGAATAGGACGACAGCGGCCCATGTTTTTCGTGTAAAAGTAGTTTTATTTACACTATGATTTTAATAACATACGATATTATTATTAGTACCTATTAAAAGAATATTTTTCAATGATCCCTAGTATATTTATGACGTGCTGTTGTATCATGCATAATATATAAAAAATATTGTTAACTAGGTTAAGTAAACATTCATATGTAACAGGTAAAATACCAAAACAAATCAAATCATATAATACTCAATAAGCTAAGTAACAACATAGAAACAATTATGCATTCCACCAAATTATGATAAGATATCAATTATTATGTAATACAATAACAATTAGTATAATTTTAAGCATAGTCAGTAAGTATAATGTAACTAGGTTAAACTTAATATCGATACTACCAATAGTGCTTCGATTGTAATATTAATATATAAGTAATATGGGAAGACAGAGGGTCAGTTGGAGGTGGTCGTGTGACTCGACTACCATCGACCACCAGTGTTAGAGCCAGGTGGTGATCGTGTGACTCGATCGCCACTGGACGTAAAAGCAGTGCCGGAGCAATCGTCGTGGCGAGCGGGACACGTGCCCCGGGCCCCGCGATTTTGGGGCCCCGATATTTATAATGCTCACACCTGAATGAAACCAAAAAAACATAAATTAAGTTACCTAATTTTTGATCATGAGTCTTGGTATACCCAACATATACTATTATACTAACAACAAAAAATATATTACCCAAAATACCCATGTATCACATTAAATTTAAGTTGATTTTTACGTTCTACCGAATTATTTTTGTTGTTTATAATGATTGTTAAAACTAAAATGCTCGACGGTTGTATCGTCGTTATTGGCTTATCGCATTTGATGTAGCCAATAATATGTACATGTATAATATATATATATATATATATATATACTAATAGTTGCATACTTTCTACGAGAGATATAAATAAAATACGTAAAATATTCGATAAAGGAGAGGTTCCCAAACTTTTTATTGTACGACCCATTTTGAAATTTTTTTAAAATATGGCTACCCACAATATCAATGAATGATCTTTTTTTTTTTTTTTACCATACAACAGAAAATTAAACTATTTTATTAAACTGTATGTAATTACGAAAAAAAAGTATAATAAGTATAATATATTAGTAATTTAATAAGTATATAATTTATGTAGTTACTAAAAAAAAAGTATAATATATTAGTAATTTAATAAGTATATAATTTTAATGTGAAGGATGGAATTGTTTCCTATTTTTTTTCACATCATCGATATCCACTTCAACATTGGTAAGCTTGAGACGTAGTGAGTTTGAAAGTTTCAATTTGCTCCGTAATTTGGTTTTAATAGCGACCATTGCTGAAAAACCAACCTCACAATTATATGATGAAATGAATGGGAGTAGCATCTTTACAGCTTCATTGGAAACAGTTGGATAATTTTCTTGAACTGATAACCAGAAACTTATTAATTTTTTTCGATTGAAATTCATTTTAAACACTATCTTCAAATAGTTCGATTAATTCTTCTTTAGCTCTTATTGATAACCCACTTGTCATGTCATGTTCTTGAAAAGGATTTGAAATCCATTTCATTTGTTGATAGTTCTCCATTTCACTCAGAGAATATGAATCGAAATTATCTTTTAGTGTTTGTAAATGATCAGAAATAGATGTAATAATGCTATCATCAACTTCTATTTGATTTTCAATTGTAATTGTCACACTCACAGATAAGGATTGACGATAAAACTGAATTTGAACTTTGAACATCAACGAAAAGTAATAGATGATTATATTTTTGTATTATTTAAAAAAAATAGCGCGACGCACCAAAAGTATAATCGCTACCCACTTTTGGGTCGCGACCCACAGTTTGGGAACCTCTGCATTAGATGTTTTAATAAGTATACTAAATGTATATTTATTTATAATGACCAAATATAAAATACCCAAGACAGATAGATCTCTAGTACATGTTTTAAATATTTATTCATTTATTTATTCAAATAAAAAGTAATGAAAAAAAAAATGTACCTAACCTTGTAGGTAATGTAGATGCCGATTGTATAACTGTTGTAGCTGATGGACAATGGTCCAAAAGAAGTTATCGAACCAAGTATGATGCTCTTTCCGGAGTAGTAAGTTAATGTTTTCAAATGTGATTTCTGTGGGCTAACATTTTAATATTTCATTTAGGCAAGTATAATAGGTTTTAATACTAAAAAGGTATTGTTCGTTGGCATACGAAATAGATATTGTGTTGTCTGTGAAAGAGCATACAATAAAAATGTTGAGGCTTCAGCGCATGTTTGTTTTTTAAATTGGAAGGAAGGGGCAACCAGCATTGAAGCTGATGCCATCGCAGAGGGATTTCGAAAAAGTGTAGAAACACATGGAGTAAAATATACTAAATTAATCGGTAATATATTATAGTGTTATACTTAATCAATATCGCACATATTTTACAATATAAATAATAAAATATATGATAATACCACAGATATAGATAATAAATATATATTTTATATATTTGTGAATAGTACTAATTGGTGAGTGATGCAATTAACTAATATAAATAGGTGACGGGGACAGCAGCGTTACTAAACGGCTAAATAATATACTACCCTATGGCCCGCAGTGTAGAGTGCAGAAAGTTGAATGTAGGAACCATTTACTTCGTAATAACTGCCAAAAACTAATGATATTATCAAGAAAATCTGATTATCCTATTGAAATTAGGAAAAAAATATCTAAAAATATTTTAAGGATGAGAACAGACGTTACGTGTGCTATAAATTTTCGAAAATTAGAGGACAAGCCGCTGAATGAAAAAATTGCAGGTAATTTCAAAATGTAAAATACAAATATTAATAATGCTATATTTTCGTTTGTTTTTGTTGTTTTTTTTTTTTTATCAACTTAGTTCGTATTTTATTTTAGGTCTTAGATTTGATATAAACAATGCACCAAACCATCGGATTTTTGAAAATCATGCAAAGTGTTCAGAATATTTTTGTAAAAAGTCTAGTGTTGTACAAAATATTTCTCCAGAAGAGAAAAAAAAATATGAAAAAATTTCACAGGACATCGATACAATTGTGTCTTGATTAACAAACAATGCGAATAGTTTAATAATGGATGTTGATAACAATGCTTGTGAACAGCTAAATAGTGTTATAAATACATTTTTGTTTGGAAAGAGGATTAATTTTACTCAAAAAAGTTCATATTCTACTAGAGTACAGGCAGCAGTAGTTAGTTATAATTCAGAGGAATATTTAAGAACCGTTAAGAAACACATAACACACACTAGCCCAAGTAAACATTATGTCTACAGTAATTTATGACAAAATACTATTTTGTATGGTGTATTTACCTTATTTTTTAGGAAATATTGGTAAACGTTTTTTGAAAAAAACACTCGAAAAAAGATACATTTGCCAAAAAAGAAGAAAAATGAAACCAAAACTACTGAAAAAAAAAACCTAAAAGATCTAAAAGTCATTCTAATGGTGCAGATGAACATTACGGTAATGCGGATGCTATTGAAATTATTAAAGACGTCAAAGATGTAGAATTTATACATGAAATGAACTTATTTGTCAGGTAGTTTTTAGGAATATATACCTAGCTGTGTTTATTATACCTATATGCTTCAATTTGAAGGGTATCTCTTCTTTTTTAAAAAAAATAATTTAGTGTAATCTTCTTATAATCAACAAAACATTTAAATCTTCATTTACTCACATTTTATACTTTTTCACCCAACCCCCCCCCCCACCCTATTTTTTTTTAAATATAGACAGTGCTTAAATAAAAGCCACATAATATGTTTTACGATAAATAATTTTTAATCATATATAATATATCTCTTTCGGTACGTATGTTAGAAATTAAATTATTTAACATACTATTTTAGATCATTGGGAGAAGTTGATAGTTTGCATATAGAGAGCATGACAAAATATCAAGTTAATAGTGAAATGTGGAAACGTGAAAGACATTGCCGACTAACAGCAAGTAATTTTGGACGTATCTGTAAAATGCGCCGAACCACAAGCCATAAAAATGTGATACATTCAATATTGTACTCTAGTTTCAATACCAAGTATATATTAATGTTTTATGTTTCAAAAAAAAGTATATATAATTATAATTTTTTTAACGAATGAAATTATAGTGCAGTACAGTACGGTAAAGACATGGAGCATATTGCAAAGTTAAGGTTTGAGGAAATTTCAGGGCTTAAAGTAAAATCGTGTGGATTGTTTATTGATAAAGAATAGCCATATTTTGCTGCTAGTCCAGGTTTGTATTTATTTGTTAGGAATTTTTTAGACATTCGACTATTCGAGTATAAAAAATACATGGCCGATAAGCCATGTATTATTACAATGTTAATACTTCGATCATCTAGATTAGTTTTTTTTTTTTTTTAAATCATCAGATGGCATTATTGATGATCAAAAGTTAATTGAAATAAAAGCACCTTACGCAGCAAAAGATACAAACAACGGAGTAGAGGCTGTTGCGACAGGAAAAGTATACCTATAATAAATATGCTTTTATTATTATAAATTAACAAATTAATTCAATTTAACTTAAATATATTTTTATTTTTAGTTAAAATACTGTACAATCGAAAATGGTAATTTAATACTAAAAAAAAATCATAACTATTTTTATCAAATACAAGGACAAATGCATATACCTATCAGAAAGAAAGTTTTGTTTTTTTATAATTTATACTCCACAGTGGATATCAATTCAGGAAATAAATAATGACTATGATTTCTGGACAACTACTATGGTTAACAAATTAAAGACGTGAGTAAAGTAGTTCACTAATATATAAAGAATATTTAGCCAATAGTATATTATTTAATTGTAAATATACGCTATTAGATTATGCAATAGCCTATTATTATAAATTTATAAAATATAGGTGTTAAGTCTATAGATAATATTGCAGATACTAACTTCTAAATAAGTCATTATCATGTAAGGTACTAAGGTAATGTAATATATAAGAACTGTATCTAATACAAACTTTTTTATTTTTTAGGTTTTATTTAGAAAGTTTACTTTCAGAGATAGTTGACCCAGCATTTGGACATAGACTAATGATATCCGATATAAGAGAAACAAATACCAACATGATTAAAACCTTGAAAAAAAAATTATTTAAATAATTACCTGTACCTATAGTTAATAAATTATTTTTGTAGGGGATTCCACACTAACACTTTTTAGAGTAAAATAGACCTATACGCGTTCCAACGTACTAACTTGAGTTTTACTCCTATAATAATTTTGAAAACAAATTTAAATTTATTATGAAGTATATTTTGAATCCTTCGAATCAGAATAATAAAAAAAAAATTAAAACTATTTATCTCCATTATAATTTTTAAGAATACAAGTTTTTTTTTCTAAATTTCAAGTGAGGTTTTTTCTTTTTAAGAATAATAAATTAAAAATGTGGCTCGAAGGATTCAAAGTTGATTGAACAACAAAACAAAATTTGTTTTCAAAATTATTATCGGAGTAAAACTCAAGTCGGTATGCTGGAATTCGTTTAGGTCTATGATTTACAACATTTCGCAACGAAATAAATTTGTTGTTAGGCATATTGTAACATGTGCATGCGAGTGCGAGTGCGCAACGCTTATCTAGCTTGCCGTCGGTCCCACTATCGGAAATCTAAATATAATATAACCCGAATTTTATAAATTTAAAAATAAGTGTTTGTCAAAACTAAAGAAAATGAAAGGCAATGGATTTAATTTCATAAAAAAAATAGTGGAGATATCAAACGACGGCTTAGTTGATTTGTAAGTTAATTTGTATTGAATTATTTATTTTAAGTTATGAGTGAAGCAAGTTATGTGTATCATTTTATACGAAAAACGATTCTGAACGAAGACGATTTGTCAGTCTAGGATATTTTATTTATTTATTTTATATCCAAAACCGTTTGATAGTAAATCGCAATTTCACTAGTGAATTTTTAATTCAGACGCTCGTAAAAATGTTTAAATTGACTTATGCTCGATTTTTTTATAATTATTATAATCAAAACTTATGGACAACCTTGTATTAAATTTTCAAAAAGTTTGGCCAAAAATATTGAGAATTTTTCCCTTTCGACCCCCCGAAGGTTTTAGCCTCAAACGATTTTTGATATTTATTTTTATTCAAAAAATATTAGCTGTAAAAATGTGATACTTCCACCAGCTGTTTAAAGTGACATTTTATTCACAGGATTTTTTTTTCAAAATATTTCGTTAATTGTTCAGCTTTATGTGTCGGTTATTTTGTAGTTGAAAATTCATAATTTTTTTTGTATTCATATGAAAATTTAATACAAGGTTGTCCATAAGTTAATTTCGTCCTCCAACACAAAAACACACATCATTGTAAAATCAATATATTCATCACTCCGTTCAGAATCTAAAAACAAATTTTGAAATTAGGTTAAAATAAACCTAGTAGCAGATCGTAAAGTGTTTGATTTTTTTTAAAAAAATACAAAAACAGATAACATTTATCTAAATCAAACGCCAATTTATTCATAAAATTTCAAGAATGTATTGTAGATTATTCATAAGCTTTATATATTTTTATCGTTATAACTAGAATCTCAAATTCAGCTTCGAATAATTCCATCCCAACTGTTGTAAAAGAAAACATCCATGGAAAATATTCAAATACGTTTACTCCAGACGATATGACATTGGCTGTACCGTTGAACAATGTACATGATGTTTCAAATTTAACTGTTGATGGAAATAATATATTCAGCACTTCTTCGCCCAAAGAAAAAAGATTAATAGATTCTTCATCTTTTCTTAACTCAGATGCACATTTATCGCCAATTTATGAAAAAAGTAGTACCTACATCATCACTCCAAAATAATAGTATGGAAATAGAAATTTGTGGAAGAAGAGTAGTAAATATATCACACTTATTTCAAGAAATCAAAAGTATTGATAACCACAAACCACTTGACTGTGGATTTAAAAATATGATATTAATTGATGAAAGAAAGCTTGGCCTAAAATCATTTTTTAGCTTCAAATGTTGCATGTGTAATATTAAAAAAACTATATCGTCCGAAAATGAAGATCTTATGGCTATAAATACTTCGGCAGTAATAGGTACATTGAATATTGGATGTGGTTTCAGTCAATTACAAGAAATTATGTCTGCAATGGAAATAACTACTTTAAATCACAAAACGTACCAAAATGAGCATGATCGGATTTGCAAAGGATACAAAATAGCTGCGTTAAAAGCAATGGATAATGCGGCTGAAGATGAAGCAGAATTGGCTATAAAAAATGGAGAAGTAGACGCCGATGGAATGCCATTAATTACAGTAGTAGCTGATGGGAGTTGGTGTAAGAGATCGTGCCGAACAATGTACAATTCACCATCTGGAATGGTAATTACAATTATATAAGTTTTACATAGAAATTAGTAATAGTATACTTTTTGATGAGGACATAAATTAATTAAACATTGTTACTAGTAGGGTATAATCTATTATTAGAATGATTAAAAAATTAACAATAAGTTTTTAGTAAAAATATAGTATTACACTTCATTCAAGTCATATCTCTCTCTAAATATATATAATATATTATGTATATAATCGAATCACGATTCCTCGAAAAACTTGACAACTCGAAATTTTTTTATCGTTTGTATATATTGTATTTTTGTGGTTATTTGAATTAATTTTTATCAAAAAAATTGCATTTAAAAATGTCATTATGTGCAAAAAATTATAGTAATAAACGTAAAAGTTTTGAATTACAACTAAATAACTACCAAACTAAAATCGTTATATTTCGTATTTAATGTCATCCAAATTTGAAAACGCATCATTGTGAAATTAATAAATTCATTACTTTTTTAAATTCATTCAAAAATAATTGTTAATTAATTAAACAAATAATTTATTTGTATTCGTATTGTGTTTATTTGTGTAGGCAGCTATCGTTGGGTATCGAACTAAAAAAGTGTTGTTCATGGGCGTAAAGAATACATTTTGTTCGACATGTGCCAGAACTAAAAATGGAGATAAGCCAAAAAATCATACATGTTTCAAAAACTGGAAAACGTCAGATGGATCGTCAGGAATGGAAGCATCAATTATTATTAGTAGAAGGATTCAAAGAAAGTGAACAAGTACATGGAATACGATATCATAAATTTATTGCTGATGGAGATAGTAATGTTTATAAGCGCATTTTAGATTCACGCCCGTATAAAAATCTTACAATTCAAAAAGTTGAATGTAGAAATCATCTTCTAAGGAATTTGTGTAAAAAATTAAGAGATAAGTGTCCTAAAAGAGATGCTGGAAAATTAGTTCACAGAAAGCTACTTCAAAATAATATATTAGGTACGTATAAGAAAAGGTATAGTTACAGCAATTAAGTATAGAAAAGAAAATAAACATTCAGAAATAGATTTACAAAATGATATTTTAAATTGTGTCGACCACGTATTTGGTCAGCATACTAAATGTGCGGCTTATTTTTGTGAAACGGTCAATGATACAAATATTACAAACGCTCAATGTACAAATTTCACTGAAAAAATGAAAGCTACAGATCCTAATTTTTACTCAACAATAATGAAACATATCCGTTATTAAGCCATTCATAGTCGTAGTTTGATTGAAAACGTTGATAGTAACGTTGTCGAGTCACTAAATGGAATTATTGCGAAATTAATAGGAGGTAAAAGGGTAAATTGTGCAGCGACTGTAATAAAAAATACCAAACGTCCCTTATACACGTTGCATAAAGTTTTATTACATCGCAGTCCAAATAAAAAGTGTCCATCGTCAATATTAGAATTAAATCGCCTTAAAAAACGCAACAGACAAAATTAACTGAGACAAAAAACATATCGCAAAAAATTAAAATATGTAAATGACTCTGCAGATCCATCATACGGAGATAATGCCCAAAAACCGGATATGACTGAAAATGAGTATGAAGAAGAAAAAATTTTTTTTTTAAATAACTTAAAAATAATAGCCGATAATCGCATAAATATTGAAAGAGAAACAGTCGATCAAACAAATTCCACTAAATGGTTTGAATTAAGGAGGAATATAATTACAGCCCCAAACTTTGGAAGAATTATTGCATTACGCCCAGACACTGGATGCAAAGGAGTGTTAAAAAGTTTACTTTACTCTACAAATCTCGATACCAAAGCCCTGGAATATGGTAGGGAACATGAATATCAAGCCAAACGAGATTTAGAATTGGCTTTAGAAGTTGAAATTAACGATTGTGGATTGTTTATTGATTCAATTGATGTTTTCTTAGGAGCTACTCCTGATGGTTTAATCGGGGAAGACACTTTAGTCGAAATAAAATGTCCGTATTCAGCAGAAAATTTAGATCCCAACGAAGCAATTATTCAAAAAAAAATTACTATTTGGAAAACTAACAAAAATAAAGAAATAACAGGTATAGATAGAAATCACAAATATTACTACCAAGTTCAGGGACTGTTACACATTACTAAGCGAAAATATGGAATTATAGCTTGTTGGACTAGAAAAGGAATCAAGTATGAAAAAATTGAAAGAGATGATACTTTGTGGCAGACAAAAATGTTTCCTAAACTAAATGATTTTTATTTCAATTGTTTATTACCGGAGTTAGTAGATCCAAGACACCCAAGATCAATGCCTATTCGAAATCCAAAAAATATACTAGAAGCGAAACGGAGAAAGAACGAACAGAAAATGAATAAACAAAGTAAAAAAAAAGTTTAACAATTTAACCCTTTAGCGAATAGTGGTAACCATATTTACCACTAGGTTTTTTTCAATAAATGTGTGATATGACACTCATTATTGATGTTAAGTGTCCAATTTTGGTGTCTATGTGTTCTTAGAATGTTTATCATCAATAAATTATAAGTTTTATTTGCTAAGACTTCATTGGTCAGTAGATATAACAAAAAAAAAAAGGTGGTAAGTATATTTACCACTGCTCACTTGTTGGTCACGTGAAATTGTTCTTAACAATAATTGAAATATTTGATTTATCAAGCAACCAGTGTAGCCACACCGATGATTGTTTTATTTTCTAAATCACGTGAAAATTTAACATGATATGAAGTAATCAATTATTTTTCGCTCCTTTTCGAAAAGATAATATCCAAATTCAAATATGATAGGGTCGTGAAAATGAACTGATTACATTCGATAACGGTTCGTGAATTTGCATCTTTGCGATGTAAACACAATTTATATTAATATATATTCAAGCATACAGGTATGTTTTAAATTTATACTTATATTATTTTATTAGCAAACAGGTATAGGTATATCAAATAAATAAGTAATTTATTTTTATGATTTTAGTATGGATGAAGATAGTGTAAGGGACTATTTATTTTCAATCACTGATGAGCAAGCTGAATGCTCTGATATTGATGGTGATTCAGATTTTGAAGACGGATTATTAATAACTAGTCCACAGCACAAAAATACAAGAAGTACTTCATCACAATCTGATTCTCCAGCATATGAACCAGATGTAACCAAATCACCAACCATACCAGTATCAAGTATATCTAGTAGCACAACACCACCTACTCTCAATTTTTCTCCAAATGATTTTGACATTATGAGTATGCCCATAGAAATAATTGAAAATGGTGATGTGTCTACTGAAATAAATGTAGATAATATTGTTTCTCCTAACATTTTGCCAATAAGCAACAAATTAACAAAAAAAAAAAAAAAATTTCCTCAACCAACATTGATTTTCAAATGGAAAAAAAGAGGTTGTAGACCTAAAACATTTAGGAGATATAAATTCACACAACCTTTTGGACCCAAAGTACCTGTTGATATAAATAGTCCAATTGATATTTTTAAACTGTTTTTTGATGATGATATTCTATATACTTTCAAGACTCAATCTGAATTATATGCTGCTCAATGTAATCAACAATTTGTTACTTCAATTGAAGAACTACAAGCCTTTTTTGGCTGTCTCATCATAATGGGATTTCATAAATTACCTACTATTCGTTCTTACTGGTCAACAGATGCCAATTTTCAAGTCCCAAGGATATCATCTATTATGTCATTAAAAAGATTTCTGTCTATACTACGATTTCTCCATTTGAATAATAATTTAACTATGCCTAAACGGGGACATGTTAATTATGATAAATTATACAAAGTGCGACCGCTGATCAACAAACTAAATGAAAAGTTTTTTTCAAATTTCAACCCATCTAGAAATATTGCTATAGATGAAAGTATGGTTGCTTTCAAGGGAAGAACCACAATTAAACAATATATGCCACTTAAACCAATCAAACGAGGTATAAAAATTTGGGCAGCTGCATGTTCTAAGACTGGATACCTACTACAGTTTGAAGTATACCAAGGCAAGCAAGGAGATCCAGAAATTGGTCTTGGAGAAAAAGTTGTGACACATTTAGCTAATCTTTATGACAACAAAGGCTATTGTTTTTATTTTGATGGGTTTTTCAGTAATATTCCTATGGTGAAAAATATGGTTGAGAAAAATAATTTTGCATGTGGTACTATCAAATCAAATAAAAAATATTTTCCATCTAGTGTTCTAAAAGATGACAAAAAACTAAAACAAGGTCAGTTTGATGTAGTTACTTCTAATGAAATAACTATAAGTAAGTGGAAAGACAGAGGAAAAAAGTGTGTAAATGTAATTAGTAATATGCATGATGGCAGTTGTATTGGTTCTGTTTCTAGAAGAGACAATCTAGGAGTTAAACAAGTAGTGAAGGCTCCAGCTGCTATTGTAGACTATAATAAGTATATGGGGGGTGTCGACCATTTTGATCAGTTTCATTCTTACTACAATGTGGCCTGGAAGTCCAGAAGATGGTGGCTAAAAATATTTTATTATCTTCTAGATGCTTCTATAGTAAATTCATTTGTGCTATATCAAACTACTAGTAATCTCCATGACCCAAAATCATCAAAATATACACACCTAAATTTCAGATCAACATTAGCAAATCAATTAATTGGTGATTATTCTTCAAAAAAAAAACCGGGTATTCAAAAGTCAATGCAAAGAAAATTGACAAAAAAAACTGGAAAAGTGATTGTTGGCAACCAATATTACCTACAAAATGTTGGTGATCATTTACCAACAAAAGGTACATATCGTCGCTGTGGATATTGTAGTACTAAAGAGACACAGAAACGTTCAAACATTATTTGCAAAATGTGTGATATTGCACTTTGTTTAGAATGTTTTGCACCCTTCCACAAGAACCCCTAAAACACTATTTTGTTGTATACAATGCATACCATTTTATTAAAAATGTAGGCATGTTTGAAATATTTTATATTATTATTAATTTAATTTTGTTTTTTTTTAATTTTTAAAAAGGTAAGGTTTTGTGATGTATTTACTTCTACTTTGTTAGTTGTAATTATTTATTAAGTCTGAATATTCAATTTATAAAGTTTGAATATGTTTTAAGTTTATAATATGTATTTGCTTCTTTATTTATTTTTTAAGTTTTACTATTTTGTTTAATACTATGTAATACTATGTTTTGTAATTTTAAAATACTTTCTATAATTTGTTGTCGCTCTGTTTTTTTTATGATTTTAAAATAGCAATATTTTGTTGTATACTCTTTTATTTTATTTGAGTCTGAATTTTAATTTTGTTGTTTTATTTTTAATTAGTTTGTTGATTTCTTTGTTTTTTAATAAAAAAATAATATTTATTATTTGTTTATTTAATTATTTAATTATTTTGTACATAATATATAAAAAGTTGTGAATGGTCTGTGGTAAATATATATACCCCCTTACTTTATTATACATGAGCAGTGGTAAATATATATACCACCTTACTTCATTATACATGAGCAGTGGTAAATATATTTACCACCTCAAAAACAACCCCTCAGAACTACCCTCATTGAGGGATGTTGTAAATAACATGATTTTTAATGTCTTAAAGACTATAGAAATTGAAAAATATAATTTTTTTTTGTCTGTTGTAAGCATAGAATTATGCCCTTTAAAGGGTTAAATAATTTAAAACCAAATTATTATAAATAATAAAATAACGTATCTTATTTGTATTGACAATATTTGACATTATTATTAATATTTCTATTATAAAAATCTCAATACAAATACATAATAATATGTAAACAATATAATCTTGCATTGTACATTTTATAACAAAATATAAATAATAAATATATCTATATATTATAATCTCATGATTTAAAAAGTAGAGTGTAGGAATCACATAGTTAAAAACGTCTAATATAATATATATTTCATAACTACGTATTTTAAAAAGTTGGTAATTCGTTTATAAATATAAATCAAGCTGTATTATATTAAATTTGTTGTGTGCTATATATTAGTACACATATTAAATAAAAGAGGAGCATTAGTTAATAAGTAGGCTGTGAGCGTAAATTGAAGAGCGAGCTTCTGTGCTGCTTCCTTAGGTTAGGTTAGCCTAACCTTAGAAGTAGGTACATAAATATATAACTGTCAACTGCATCGACGAGAATTGTTCAATAATAAAAAAATGTAAAAAAAATATGTTGAAACTAGTTTAAATTCTACTTATCAGTACGGTCTAAATATACGTCTGTTCATAATATTATAATTTATCATATTAAGATCACCGAAGACGTATTTAATGGAATTATCTGTGATATTACAATATTTTATCTGTTAACAAAAACAAATACATGTATTTGCAAGTGTATTTGCATAATATAATATATTATATAGTATATTATACTATTTGCAAATATAAAATATCATCTAAAATAATTAAATTATAATTTTAGTTTATATTAAAAGTTATGCTAAGTTAAGTGCTAGTTATAAAAGTAAAAAATATTAATTATTTTTTCCTCACTAATTTGTTATTTACAGCATCTATTGCACTAGTTGTATTTCTAGCACTAAATGGACATTTTATTTCTATGCACTATCTTCCCCAATCAGACCATCTATAGACATTATAAATTATAATATATAAATATAATTTATTTTTTAGTATATTGTTATCATTATCATTTATGTATATTATTCTTATCACTAACGTTAATTTATGTAATATCGTTATTGCTATATGCAAAAAGCCGTTTGGCGTTTATACAAATAAATAAAATAAAAATAAAAATAAATAATACATAAGTAAAATTAATAAAATATTGATAACAATTAACTCATTATCTTATATACAATACCTGGACTTGCTGCCAAATAGGGAAACTCTGTATCTATAAATAACCCACAAGGTTTTACAGTAAAATTCATGGTTTCCTCAGCCTTTTTGCGTGCAGCAATCTCCATATCTTTTCCATACTGAAGAGATTTTGCTTGCACATTATTTGCGTATAGAATGTTATAAACAGAATTTTTGCAGCTTGTATTGGGTGGTCTCATCTTACATATTAGGCCAAATGACGAAGCTGTCAAACGAATTTTACGTTCTTGATACCATAATTGACTATCAGTCTGCTCTCTTGTGTCAATTTCAATTTGTACAACATTTATATTTTCAAGTCTGGCAAGAAATTTTTTTTTTTATCTTCAATTTCTTCTGGGCTAAAATCTACAGAAAGAGGTTCTGCCATACCATAGTCTAGGACCATGTGATACTGGTTTTTTATTTTAATTTTTTTTAGGAAACAATTGACGCCTTCTACTACTATTTCCTAAAATCCTTTCATGGTTTTTTAAATACTTTTTACCAAACTTTCCTAAACCAATAAAAAAAAAAAATTATGTAAATGTACCTATAGAAGTAAATAATAAATATCAAAGTTTAAATAATATTTATAGAGTAGTAGGTGTAGCATACACACGCTTTTTTTTTAAAGTTCTATAGTGACGATCACATAAAAACTTAAATATTACAGCTACCAACAAACATATCTTTTACAAACTCAATAGTATTAAAATACGCACCTGGACTAAAGTTCGATATTTTTTTATGAATGCACCTCAAATATTCTTTAGAGTTAAATGATATCACTGCAGCATGAACTCTAGTATTGTAGTTTCCTCTATTGGAGAAATTAATTCGTTTGCCGGCTATATGTTTATTTATAATTGCATTAAATTGTTCGCATATGTTGTTATTTTTATTTTCAAGAAGGCTCTCGGCATTATTTGCAAGTCGTAATGCATAATTTTTAATTTCTTGCATCATACCAGAATTTTCTGCTTCTGGCACCAAGTTCATATTATTTGACGTAAGTTGGCTACAAAAGTATTTATTACAATTATCATGTTGGCCTAGACGATGATAAGGTCCATTTAACAAATCTTTTTTTATCTCTGAAACGTATTTACAAATGTTTACTATTTTACAAATAAACAAATTAAAAAATACCTAAATAAATAAATCCTAACGGATGTACCTTTATCATATTTATAATCGAAAGTTTCTTGGTGTATACACTATTGCAACAAAAATACTGACTTTCGTAATAACCTATTTATTATTTACATATATAGGTACATTCGTTTTTTAAAATAATAATTTTCTACTTTAGACAAAAAATGGTATAACATTTAAAATCAAACCTTTAATTTTTTCCAACTTTGAAGACCAACAGTATATTTCCAATGTCCTACTGCTTTGATAACATCTCCTCGGAATCTAAGAATATTTAAGTATATGTTTTCGAATACGAATCGGATATTTTGTAATTCTAGCTAAAGTTTGGAGCTATAATTCCGCAATAAATGATTAACACATTCAATCTTTTTAATTGAAAATGTTGGACCATGGGGGGAAAGTTCGTTTAGCTTTTTCGTAACACTGCCATCTCCGTCTCCTATTAAATATTAGGTAAATTAGTATATATTAGTATATATTAGTATGATATGATTTAATTCAAAAAACTACTTTTTTTTATTTACCAATGAGTTGATTATATTTTAAACCATGCATTTCTATGCTTTTTGTAAAACCTTCAAGTACTCCGTCTGCCTCCATAGCGGTTGACGGTTTTGTCCAATTCAAAAAACACTCATGTTCAGGAACCTTTATGTTTTTTGAATTATATTTTTGACATATCATACAGTATTTGTTACGGATACCAACAAATAACACTTTTTGTGTTTTAAGTCCAATTATAGTTGCCTAATTAAATAACCAATATAACTTGTCTTATCATTTTTAGCCGGTCATAATTTTTTTTTTGAATATCTTTAATATAATACATTCTTACCACTCCAGACAGAGCATCATACTTAGTTTTGTATGATCGTTTGGACCACTGTCCATCGGCTACTACGGTACACATGGGAATTCCATCACTATCGACATTTCCGCATTCTAATGCCATTTTGCGTTCCTCGTCGCCAGCTTTTTTCATTTCGTCAAATGCAGAATTTTTTAGAATAGTTCCTACTTCGGTTTGTAGTCTATGAAATGCATTACATGATAATGATGGCATTTCTAACGACGCTGCTAGTTCTGACATTTGAGAATGTCCTATTCCTTGTTTTATATAATAATAATAATATTGTATTCACTATTCGCTCATGTCTACTATTTACATTATTTAAAACCAATATACCTATTGTTTGACAAGCATTTACGACAGCTTTGTTCAGGGGCGGACTGGGGCAACATTTCGGCCCGGGAAATCTATATTTTGACCGGCCCTTGCCATTTCTCGTCATCACAAAATGTAAAAACTAAAAAACATACCAACGTTTTATTCAATTAGAAATAAATCCTCTACACATTTTCAATTTTCTCAGAAAACAACTTAAGATTCTCAATGTTTTTCGTACATTATATATTATTATTATCTGGAGACCTGAATTATAGACTAAAAATTATAATGTATAAATTATTTATAATTACCTATATTACTATGTTAGTATTAACATTAGGTGCACATGGTGTAATACTAATGTGTAAGATATTGTAATAAATTAAACATTCTTTATTTTTTTGTATCTATATTTTAACATCTAATCAAACATTTTAATAGGCTAATTTAGATCTTAATAAATTACTGTGATTTTTAACAATATCAATAATGTCATCGTTATCAATTTCGAGTAAAATCTGTTTCTCTACACTCATCAGCATAAATGCCTCCAATTTCGATTCCGTCAAAGTGTTTCTCAGCCGTGATTTAATGTACTTCAGAATTGAGAATGATCTTTCACATGCTACCTAAAAAATAAAACTTACATTGTTAATTGTTATTATACCCATATTACATCAATACTGCATATTATTAATAAATTATATTTGTGTTAAAAATAATTAATTCATTATTGTTACCTGAGTACATGGTAATGTAAGAAGGTATTTGTAGGCTAAAGCAAGGTTTGAGTAAGCATTACTATATAAATTATACTTGAGTAAAACATTGTAGCAACAAACTGAACAATTCATACATGATTTACACATTTTTGAACTTGCAATCTTTTCTTCATTACTGTCAACATCATCATTGTTATCGTCATCAGTATCTTGTATGTCTTTATTAACTATATATTCGTCGGGTAAAGACTTTTTTAAATATTTTCAATTATCTGCAAAGCTTAAAAGTTCATTTCTTAACTTTTCAATTGTTATAAAATTATCAAAATATTTTAACACTTTACACAACTCCACTAATGCATTAGAAGGCAATTTTTCATTTGATATGTCTCCAAAATTATTTGGCGATAAACAAGATAGATCTGTATACAGCATTTTATTGGAGGAAAACTTTTTTTCCATACTTGAAATTGTGTTATCTAATATAACATTGTAAACCTGAACTTCAAACTTTTTCTCAGCATTTAGAATAGGTGTATCTGAAGATTTTTCATCAAACATTTTTTTCTTACACCGACTTCTTACATCAGGAAACTTTATTTCAATGAATACATCTACATTACAATCTTCAAATTTACTATTCAATAGCTCAATAAAATTATCAGTTCGTTTCTTCACACTCTGCATATTTCTTTGTAATTTTTTCAATTGCTGTAGAGAGCCATCAACCAATTCTTGAGACTTTATTAAATCTATACCTTTTGTTTGTAAATACCTGGAGAGAGGACCAACAATTTCAAAAATATGCACATAAACAAATGCCGTTAATATAGTTTGATATTCTAAAAATGATCCTTTCAAAATTTTTGCTTTTACACGAACTTCAGGTGTAAAAGAATCTAATGTTTGTATAGTGTCTAAAGCTAAAATCATTTCTACAAACAAATGTCCCTGATCTACAAAAATATGATGCAAAGCTTTCTCTTTAGATTACCAACGAGTATTTCCAATAGTCACAAGTCTTCTTAAATCTTTCTCACCAATTGTTTTTTTCCATACATTCATTCTCTTGTACGATTCTTTAAAAAAAACTGCAACATCATTTAATAACACAAATAAAGTGGCAGCTTGAAGTGGTGATTTTGTTGCTTCAATAATAACTAAGTTCAAAATATGACTATAACACCATACATGAATCTGAAAAGGTGAAGACTTTGAAAGCCAGGATGAAAAGCCATTAAATCTTCCTTGCATATTGGCCGCTCCATCTGTGGCATTTCCAATGCATTTTTTTACATCAAGTCCATTGTTGTTCAGTACATCTTGTAGCATTTCATGGAAACTTTTTCCTGTCGATTCTTTCATTGTCACAATGGAAATTAGTTTTTCATTTACTCCTTTTGAATTCACATATCTTAATATTACAGAACACTGATCTTGAACAGACACATCCTGTGTAGTATCCAGCTGCACAGAATACATTTCAGCTTCTTGTATTTGAGAAGAAATTGACCTTTTTATTAGAACACTTATAGCATCAATAATCAAATTAACAGTTGTTTTTGAAATGAACGTTATAGATGAACCTCTTCCTTTAACTTTTGTAGACTTATGTCGAGCAGCTTTTTCTTGAGCACTTTTGATTATTTTATCAACATGTTCATTTAATGTCACATCATATTTTTTTAAAAGAAGTAGAATTTCTAAAAAGTTACCATGGTCAAGTGTAGGATCGTGTAAAGAATAAGATGATTCATTCTGAGCAGCTCGATAGCTTAAACCTCTCTTCCCAATTAGTTTTACTACCTCAATAACCCTTTCTAGTATTTTCCTATTATTTTTAACTTCTTCCTTTAATTTATGTTTTTGTTCTGAAAATAGTAAATAGTCTATACTTTTGTTATTTGCATGGTGTAGATAAGCATCTGCACATAATGTATGATTTTTGCTATTTTCATGTTCATCAATTCTTTGATAAACATGTGTCCAAAGTTGCAATCCTTGAGTAAACACATTATCTTCTGAAGAAAAACATAAACACACGCTACAAAATAAGCTTTGGGAAAATATATCATATGAAAGCCAACAACGTTGAGTTTTATTTTTCCGGTAAAATGCTTTAGATGATTTAAAAGGAATATCCAAAAATGGTTGTTGTGGATGATATTCAAAAAATTGACCAAGATCCTTTTTGTTAGGTTTTTTAAAATAGCTGGTTTGTGTTTTTTCATAGACATCAACATTACTATCTTTAATAACAATGCTATCCTATGTATATAAAAAAAAATAGTTTGGTTTATAAAGGTAACAAACTGTCAAATTATTTTTCATTGCTACTTGAAAATGTATTTAAATTTTTTAGTTAATATCGTTCATTATTCATACTTGAATTAGTAGAAAGTATATTTGTTTTAAATATCTATGTCAATAAAGAATATTATGAATAAATAATATAAATGTTATGAACAGAATAGTTAATTTATCAAATAAATTATGTTTAAATCTTTTATTTTTACTTTTTTTTTATACCTACTCTCATAATTAACATTATCATTCTAAAATTGGTCACAATATTTATACATTTTAAACATTTGACTATTAAAAATAAAAAAAACATAATTTATCAATTAATTTTTTTATTCTTACTTGATTTTGTACTAGTTTGTTATCTTCAAAATCCATTATAATAGAGCTTGTACTACTAGTACTAGCACCAAAATTCACTTGATCATTACTCTAAAATCAATATTTTGTAAATCTGTATTAATAAAGTATAATAAAGATTAAAGAATATAAAGCAACTATTTTAAAAATTAAAAATAATTAATTTACTGACTACATATTGTATTTTTGTGTAAACTAAACTTACCTAATAGTTTTGAAACTATACCAAATTTAGTATATAGTAGTAACCATTATAACTAGATTAAACTTATCTTTCCTTTGAAAATAAATTTATTATACCTATTCATATTGCATACCTACCTATTATTTTTAAAGAATACTAGGTAAAAATAATTATTCTAGGTACGTACTTACATTTTTAATGCTTATTTGCGGTTGATGGCAAAGATTTTCTTGCATAACTAAAATAATATATTATACAAATTATTGATCATACACAAACACTCATAAATCAAATAACAATAATTCCCTTTAAATTTTATTATCCCCATCATTTCAAACAAAAAAACGTACAATTTTGTGAGGTACATTTGAAATGAAATTTACTTACCAGTGTCACTATGAGTATGAGGCACATTTGATGAAAACCATTGGTTAATCTTCACACAGCTCTCACCTGACTTTTTTAAGAGTTTTTTTTTTCTTTCTCTCATTTTCTCCGCACCACCTTTTCTTTTGCTTTCCATTTCCAACAACCAATACTTAAACTCAATAGATAGGCAGATATTGAAAATCAACAAAAAAAAAACACAACACTCATAGATAAAATACAAAACAAGTAAAAACGCTGAACATACGAAACTGTTTGTAGCAAGTTAACAGCCAATTTAACACATTAATAATAAAACATATTATTATATTATACAACATTATGATAGTAATTAAAACGTGGTTACTGAATACTGGTTTATAGTTATAGTTACAACCGTGCTTGATTAATCGATTGATATAATTAACGTCGTATATGAAGTTATAAATAATAATTGTTGTGGTTGCTAGGATGGGGGGGAGGGGTTGGTTTTATCAGCCGAACTGAAACCTATTTTAAACACCAAATGTAAACAATTTATTATGCACGCGCGTTATGATATTTATAATTTATATTTATATAATTATATCTATTAACTATTTTATTAAAATGTATAACTAATAAGTAATAATTATATAATAATAACAAATTATTTTTGAGCAGCGGCCCACCGGGAAAGTTCCCGGTATCCCGCCGGCCCAGTCCGCCCCTGGCTTTGTTAATTGGAATCATAGTTTCATTGCATCTTTCGGAATACAAGGTTTTTTTGATATTACATACTCTGAATTTAAAAGTGATGATGGTTTGAAACCCATATATGCTTTCCGATTGATAGTCCATATCAACAAATGAGCAATCAAACCCACCTACATGTCTTGTTTGTACTTGATCAATTAAGTATTTTATATCAACTATCCTTCGACCAGACAAAGTCCTAATATTTAAAAATAAATGTCTTCAATAAAAGATTATTAGGTATTTTATTTAACTAATTAAATTTGAGCCTTTTTCATTAGAAAATAGAATATTTTCTCTATACAAATATTTTTTGTTGTTTTTAGATTATTAAATGCTAATGTTATTAGAAGATTTAATATATAAATACAATTATAATCACACATATTTTTAGACTTACATAGTTGAAATATTTATGTTGGTTCCTTGAGTCGGAGAACTACCATCAACAAA